AACGAGAAACTACGTTAAGATAGCCGATATAATATTATATCTTTCCATTTTCGAATTCTCCATTCATCTTTCAAGTTCAACATAGGGATTGGCAGGATTAATATAGTGTTTTTTATGTTGAAGCCTAAATATGCACGATTACTTCGTAATTATTTCATTATTTTATATTAACCTCAATGTTCTAATTATATTACATCTTTATTTTTAATTTTATTAAGTGATATATTAGGTGAAGTAAAAAGTTCTGAGCGTTTTTTTGCTTTATTTCGACGATGAAATTAACATAGTTAGGATTATGCGATTTCGATCAAATATGCGCCGTTTTGTTCGATAACTTTTGTTCACTTTGAAGGCAATTTCATAATTCCGCGATTGAAGAAGTCCTCGTCCCTATAGGTAAAAAACTTGACCAGCTCATTTTCACAAGCCTCTCTTGAGGCCAGTTTTGTACAATCAAGAAAATTTTGCAAATGCTTGAAAAGGTGATAATCGCTTGGGGCCAAGTCTGGACTATACGGTGGGTGCAATAGAACCTCCCATCCAAGCTCTCGGAGCTTCTGGCGCGTCGTTAATGATGTGTGCGGCCTGGCGTTGTCTTGATGAAACACAACACTCTTCCTATTGGCCAATTCTGGCCGCTTCTGATCGATCGCCTGCTTCAATCTGGTCAGTTGTTGACAATAGAGGTCCGAATTGAGTGTTTGGCCCGATGAGAGTAGTTCATAGTGGATGATTCCTTTCCAATCCCACCAAACACACAGCATAACCTTCTTGGCCGTTAATCCGGGCTTGGCGATCGTTTGGGCCGGCTCACCGCGATTGGATCACGATCTTTTTCGGCTGTTGTTCTCGTATGTGACCCATTTTTCATCACCAGTTACCATCCGCTTCAAAAATGGGTCGATTTCGTTACGTTTCAGCAAAGAATCGCAGGCATTAATTCAAAAGGTCCAAAAGGTTCTTTTGCGTCAATTCGTGTGGCACCCATACATCGAGCTTTTTCTTGAGACCAGCCTTATGCAAATGGTTCCAAACGGTTTTCTGGCTAATCTTCAATTCCTGGGCAATGGAATAAGTGCTCATATGCCGATCCGACTCGACAATTTCCATGATTTTATCGACATTTTCGACGATTGGTCTACCAGAGCGTGCCTCATCTTCGACGCCCATATTACCAGAACGGAATCGTTGGAACCACCGCTTTGCTGTTGCATTCGATACTGTATTGGATCCATAAACAGCACAAATTTTTTTGGCCGCCTGATCCGTTTTTTCACCTTGGTCGTAGTGGTACTGAAGAATGTATCGAATTTTCTCTTTTTTTACCCCTATTTTGAAACGCTGTAGCACACAACTGCCTTGACCAAACACAAAACTGTCACAGAACTTTTTTTAAAGCGTAATGTCACCTTTAAATCGACGTATAGTATGACCCGATGCGAAGTATACATGGTGAGATATGACTTACTAAAGACATCTAGCGGAAAACGCTCAGAACTTTTTCCTTCACCTAATATTAATTACGTATTTTACATATTTGCCTGCAGAAGGATCTTCACTTTGATGTGATGAAAGAGCTTACGGTTGCAAGCGGTTCTACTCGTCTAGGATAGACATGCGTACAACCAACGAAGGATCCTCCAATTCAAGGTGTTAACGACCGTGCCGAGGACTGCGTGACACAGGGGAAGCTGAGTCTTAAACGCTGCAGGATACCAGACGTCCTCCGGACGATAATATAACGATAATATAACATGCGCTAAGCCTCGGGATGCGGCCGATAGCCCAAGTGAGACCACTAGTTCGCATACTCGTGAGAACAAAAATAGATCAAATATATACCGGAATAATTTTTATACCCGCAGTGAGGCAAACGGAGAGAGGCCAGGCTTCTGAGCGTTATAGGTGAGCGTGAAAAAGATTCTCCCCTACGCGACCTCTCATTAATGCTCCGTTAATCAGTATCACAATGTCAGCGGGAGGTGCCCTCGTCTGTTGCACAACGAATTATTATTAAATTTCTTACTGCCGAAGGCGTAAAACCGTCAGACATATTGAGAAGGTTTGAGGCACAGTTCGGGGACAATACGCTTAAGAAGATTCATGTGTATGAGGAATACAATTTTTAGAAGAACGAGAAATTGTTGAACATGAGTGGCACTGACGTCGCCCGAGGACCAGCGTGACAGAGGAAAATATTTGCCTGGTTGGCAGTCTTATCGAGGGTGACTGTCGATTAACGGTTGTTGAAATTGCTTCTAAGATCGAAATAAGCTTCGGCAGTGCTCAGGCAATCATTACTGATGACTTTGGGTTTCGAAAAGTGTCCGCCATATGGGTCCCTCGTATTCTCACCAAAAATAGGAAACGGCACCGTTTGGAGGTGTGCGAACGGCTATTGACACGCTATCAGACTGAAGAGGAAGATTTTTTGAACCGAATTGTGACTTGCGACCAAACTTGGGTGCACCATTAAACCCCGGAATCCAAAGAAGCTAGTATGGAATGGCGAAGAAAAAGTGAATTTACACCCGTCAAAGCCAAAACTCGGCTTCTCAGCTGGAAAAGTTCTTGCAACTGTATTTTTTGACTTTAAAGGTATTTTGCACGATGACTTTCTTCACGAACGTCGTACTGTGAACGCCGCATACTACTATCAACTTTTGAACGATGCAAAACGTAAATATCGTCATAAAAGACGCAAATTTCCAATCCGAGACGTTATCCTGCTTCACGACAATGCCCGGCCCCATACAGCTGCCTTAGCTCGTCAAAAAATTGAAGAATTTGTCTAGACTACACTGGAACACCCTCCCTACAATCCGGACTTATCGCCCTGCGATTATCATATGTTTGGACCACTGAAAGAAGCACTTGGAGGACAAAGATTTGACAACGATGCTTCTGTCGAATCCTTCGTGAGCGATTGGCTGCAATCACAGCCGCCTTCATTTTATGATAGCGGAATTAAAAAACTGGTTACCCGTTGGGAAACATGTGTTTTGAAGTCCGGGGATTATGTAGAAAAATAAGTATGTATGTTAGTTTTTTTATGATGCTTGAATTAAACAAAAAAAATAATTCCAGTTCATATTTGATTCACCATTGTACAAATTAATTTTCATCACAGCAAAGGCGTCTCATAGATTCTAGCCAGGAGCATTGCTTTGATGTAGGCAAAACCGATACTAATTGCACAAATAGCGCTGGTACAAGTACTTAGGCTAGTTAGAGGCAAAATTAGGGGCCTTAACAGTTGCAGGAAAATCTTTTATATAAATGACAAGGGCAAAATAAATACCTGCATTATCACAAGCAACGTAGAAGCCATCCTTCTAACAGAGTACAACTGTGGTGGTGTCATTGCTGCACTAATAAAAGTCAGAGGAAGGGACGGCGGATTCCTGGAACAAATCGTAGGATCAATATGTATTACCTACGAAGCGGGAAATAGTCCTCTTTTCAATTAAGTCAAGCCACTGGTCGCATTTGTGAAAGCTGGAGGACGCGAATTACTCTTGGTTTGTGGTGCAAACTCTCACCACCTGGTGTGGGGAAGCACAGATCCGAAAGACGAAAGTTTGCTCAGTTACGTAATAAATAGCGGGCTGCACGTTCTCAAAAAGGGAAATGAACCTACCTTCATGAACTCTCGAAAACAGGAAGTAATAGACATTACCATTTGTTCGGACGGACTTCTGGACAGAGTGAAGGACTGAAGGGTATCGGATGAACTCTCTGGGTCGGATCACAAACAGATATGTTATTTCCTATGACAAGTGGTAATTACAAAAACCTGTACTAGAAATATTCTAGGGAGACTCATTCAGAGAGATACACGGCCGATCTCAAAGATCGGACCCTTAGGGTCCCAATGAAATTTCAAAAATTAAAAGAGCTGGAACTGGTGGCAGCAAAAATTAGCGACATCATAAACAGCTCTTTTGAACTAAATTGCCGACTCAGGCAAAGAAACCCAATAGCCCAGACCCCATTGTGGAATAGAAAGCTAAGTGAGCTCAAGGCTGTGGTCAGAAGAAGCTTCAACAAAGTGAGGAAGCCAAAAACCAGAGAGTAGTCGTAGAATTTCAAACGAGCTCAACGACTCGACAAAAAAGAGATTGCGAAAACAAAAAGCAATAGCTGGAAAAGTCACTATGAAGATATCGAAATCTTGGCTCTTGATGCTCGGGGTCTCGATGCTGCACAGAATACTTAGCACAGAAAAGAATACCTGCTGAAGCTGTTTAAAGATACCAAATGGTACATACACGAGAACGCAGAAGAAATCCCTAACTTACCTTATGGAAAGTCAATTTCCGGGCTTTGAAGGGACCTCGGCAGTTGTTATTCACGCGATTAGAAAAGCACCAAAACATTGGGACTTAGCTGCAAAGATTGTGCAGCCGAAAGAGGTGGAATGTGCTTTTAATATTTTCGAACACTACAAAAGGGCTGGACCAAATGGTATCTATTCGGTGCTATTTCAATAGGGCTTCTAAGAACTCTTGGGCCCATTAATAAAGATCTTTAGCTCGAGTATAGTTCTAGAATGTATTCCCAAGGCCTAGGCGGACACGAAGGTAATTTTCACACCAAAACCTGGACAAAATGGTCACGTCCTCGCTAAGAACGTCAGACTCATCAATCTCATTCCTTTCATCTTAAAAAGACTAGAGAGAATATTAGACAGATATTTGAAATCAATTCCGTTAATAGTAAAACCACTAGTAAACTCCTAGTACGCTTATAGAGAGGGCAGGTCCACAGAGACCTCTCTAAATCACCTAGTGAGCGCAATGGAGAGCTGAAAGTCAGACAAGCTGGAAGTCAAAAGATATGCTCTGGGATATTTGGGATATCATATGAGCATTTGATAGCACTTCAAATAAAGCGATAGAAGAAGCCATGATAGTTCACAGCACACCAAATGCACTGATTGGGTAAATAGAAAACATGCTGACCGCCCGTAATCTTATGTTTCAGTGTAAGGAAAAGACGCTGGAGGGCAGACAAAACCGTAGCTACCCGCAAAGTGCGGTGTTGTCCCCCACCTTGTCAATAAACTCCTGGTCAGTCCAGGAGAGGAAGATTCCAAAGTCTATGGCTACGTGGAAATGTGGCTGTGGTTGTCAAAGGAAACACCCTGGAAACTATCAGAGAACATATGGTGACAGCTCTGAGAATGATTGAAAACTGGTGCACAAGGAAAGGTCTGGCCATCAACCCTTCTAAGACAAATATTATGATCTTTACCAGGAAGTACAAGAAAGAAACAATAAAATATTAAGCTATGGGGAACGAAAGTAGAATTCACAAATTGTGTTAAATACCTTGGCGTCCTGATCGATCCGAAATTAAATTGGAAACAGCACCTCCTTAAAAAGAGGAAAAAATTCTACACATCCATGTGAGCATGTAGAAAAACCATGGGAAAAATTTTGGGCTTAAAGCCGAAGGTGGTCCTATGGCTATTCAATGCGGTACTACCGAGATTAACTTAAGCTGATAGTATGGTGACCAAGAGTGGAAAAAGTGGATGCAAGGATCCTGCTGAAATGCCTACACGGTAGTAACCTGAGGGCTGCGGTGAGAGCCATGAGAACCACACCACCAG